CTGTTTTGTTTTTAAACAATCTTCTTCTTTCTATATCTTGAACTATTTCCATTGTGATCCATTCGCTTTTCGGTGCTGGTTTCCCCCTAATTAATACTTCTTCTGCAGACTGGGTAATAGATTCTTTTATGCAACGCCACCTATGTTCTATATTATTATTACTACAGTCATCTGTCTTCGGCTTGTCTTTGGTATCAAATTTTTCTTTGCATTTCTTTTCGAACAGTTTTCTTGTTTCTGGTTGCTTTAGTTGACACAAATTCCAATCAGGTCCTTTATTTTTTGGTCTTTCTAATTTCTTAAACTTCAATACTGATTTGATCATTACCAGGTTGTGGTCACTGTCAATATCAGCTCCTGGGTAAGATTTGCTAGATTTGATCTGGTTTTTGTATCTATTCTTTACCATGATGTAGTCTAATTGATATCTGTTGATATCACCTGGCATTTTAAACGTATAGCGTCTTCTTTTATGATTCATGAATAAAGTATTAGTTATAATTAAATCATGTTGTCTACAGAATTCGACAAGACGGTCACCTCTTTCATTCCTTGTTCCAAGTCCATATTTGCCAACTTCTCTGCCGTCTGTACTTTCACCTACAATCGCATTCCAATCTCCCATGATAATTAAATTTTCCTTACTATTTGTTAGACTAATGAGTTCTTCTATCTTTTCGTAGATTTCTTCTACTTCTTCATCGTTCGCTTGTGTTGTGGGCATATATGCTTGTATTATTGCGATGTCATTGGGGACAGATTTTAATTTGATCATTATCAATCTATCATCGTAAGTTATGTAACTTCTCACACATTGTGCCCATTTTTTATTTAGAATAATGCCAACTCCATTTCTTCCATTGTCACCGCCGGAGTAGATGACTCTGTAATCTCCCGATATAAAGTCACCTTGACCATTCCATCTCATTTCACTTATTCCCAAAATATCAATTTTGAGGCGTTTCATCTCAATCTTAAGATTTTCTAGTTTCCCTGTTTGTAACAGGGTTCTGACATTCCATGTTCCTATCATACTACAAGGATTTCGCTTGGTGACGACCTGAGGTACCTTGTTTGGCCTCCTGCCGGGAATGACCTCTCCGATAAGGTCGTTTCCATACATGTTATCATTTATTGTGCTGGTCATTTGTTATTTGACTAAGGAGATTAATATGGTGGTTTCCTCTTGCCTTCCACATCGCAGTGCAGTGGCCGTGTTCATGGTCTCCATGCACGCCCACTCCTTCTACCTGGCTATAGCTGTACCTGCTTACGAAGCATTCACCTATAGCCAGTACTGAAGGCGCTGCAGCTCACCTTCAGGTCCATTTTAGTCGCCTCTTACGACAGGCATGGACTACCGTGGGTGTATTCTGGCCCCCTACCCACAGGGGGTAATATTTTTTATAAAACATAAATTCAACATAGAGGCAACGTTATGTAATTTCTATTGCACACTGGGAGATATTTATAAAAAAATCTTACATTTCTCATGTCTATAATTTGCATAACAATTGTCAAAATATTTTGAAAATTTTACTTTGCTCAGAAAACGCTAATATTAACATTTTGTGTACATTACATGTATCTACGGTCATTTGTTTATGATTTAAGCACACACAAAAAAAAGAAAAAGCAAATTAATTACCTCGAAACCTGGATTTACGCAAAAAAATTTTCCTTAATTTTGACTTCTCTAAAATACAAACTAGTTACAGTTTTTTTTTATCTATAATCCAATGTTGTGTGTGTGTTAGACATACAAAAAATCATCGCTTCCATTCTCCTTAAATAACAATTTGAACCGACTATTTTATTCATATTTCATCATAAAAATATTGTATACATGGGTATTATAAAACTTTGTGTAGAATGGAAATAGAGGTAACTATAAACATATTATAATGGATTTGTTAATTTGAATTAAATTATTAAAATATTATAATTGCATTTGCGTATATGAAAAATGATTATTCTCTTTCAATTAAATTAAATTTGTAATATCAGAAACCACCCTCTAAAGTTGAATGTTGAGGCATTTTAACTGCTCTCAAAGCTGTTATTCAAAAAGTGCTTTACATACAATCAATCTAATTACAATCTAAAAAAAGTAAAAAGTGATAATATTAATTTAAATAGAGGCTAGAATCAGTTCATAAATAGAACTTTGATGAGCTTAATTTTCAAACAAGAAAAAATTGTAATTTTAGGTATATTATATAAAGTAATAAAATGATTCATTATTTATTAATTTAGTAGGTGCTTATTGCTTAAAAAAAATTTAATGTATCTACATTTTTACATTATATAATTATAAAGTTAATAACCAACTATATTTTGTTTAAAATTCATTTTTACATTAGTTTAGAAGAATAAAAAGTTTTTACTATATATTCCATAACTTTTAACTTTATAAATAAACGAAAAATCAAAAATGTTATTCTTTTAGGGCCGGTTTCACCATTTACGAATTAAAGTGCGGATTACTTAATCCTGAGTTACTGTCTAACTTTGGATTAGCATTGTTTCAGTTTCACCATTGGTTTTTGGATAGGAGTTAGTTAATCCGAATTAACCTCAATTCAACAGTATTTCCTCCAGGTTTTTGGAGATAACGCTGATAACAATTCTCCATTTTTGCGCGTTTATAAATGCAGTTTTTTTGTTTGTTTCTATTTTCTATGCTTTTAAGTTTTTACGCTTCTGTAAACTGTGTTTCTACTTTCTTTTGACTATGGATAAGCGTAAAAGAAATGTCAACTTCAGTGCTACGGAGGAAGAACTACTTGTGGAGTTGGTAAAAAAGTACCAAAACATCATAGGAAATAAAAAAACAGATATAGTAATGTGGAAGGAAAAAGAGGAATGTTGGCGGAAAATTACTGAAGAGTTTAATAGTCAAGGAGTGTTTGTGGCACGTAGTTGCACACAGCTGCAATTAAAATATAAAAATTTAAAAAAGTGGTTAGAAAAAAAAAGTGCAGCTATAAGGTAAGTGCGAAAAAATTGCTAAAATATGTCTTTATCAAATGTAAATATCAAATCAAATTTAAAAAAAATATATATATATTTATTAAATAATACAATTTTATTTTACTTTGAATTCATGTTTATTAAAAATATAATATAAATATTTAGTTATTAATTATATACGAATTTGTTATCTAATATATTTAAAAATAAAACTAAAATTGTTATATAGTCTGTACCAAATAAGAGTAGGTTCACATGAAAGGCGTTAAACGCGCGTTTTTAGTCAGTGTTCACATGAATTACAGATTTTACGCGTTAAGCGCGCGTATAACTACGAGTATAGTCAGTCGTGTTTTTTATTCCGGCGAAGATGGACGTAGCAGAAGCTGTATGCTTATGGACCTTATATAGACGAATGCAGCGTCGTAGGCAGAGAAATAAGAAATACTGGGTTCATCCTATTTTAAAAAACAGACTAAGAACAAGCTTGTACATCACGCTGTATCCAAGTTTGAGAAATTATGAACTAAATTTTTTTAACTATTTCCGGATGTCGATTAAATCTTTTGATGACTTGTTGGAGCAAATCAAAGAATAAATTGTGGCTGACGAAAATGCAATTAGATATTGTATTTCACCAGAAGAAAAGCTCATAATTACTTTGAGATATGTTAATTTATTTATTTTAATATCAAGAACATAACATTACAGCATAATATAAGATAACAAGTGTAACATTTTTAATAACGAATATTTATTATATTTATTTATTATATCTTAATACATAATATTTTAAAGAACCCTTTGCATACATTATATAATACAATTATTGATAAGTATATTTTAGTCAAATAAATCAAGTACAGACTGTGCACTGTCTGTTTCACTAACATTTGTTGGCGTTGGTGATGGTGCAGGTGCAGAAGTATTTAGTTGATTACTTTTACCAGCAAAATTGTGATCATAGTGATACCCTTGTGTTATGGTGTTGTGTAGCGTAGAATTTTAACCATAATTTGGATATCCAAAGTTACTTGGCCGATATTGTTTTCCATACATAGCATGTTGATATCCATCAGATGATGATGTCTGATTTTGTAAAATAAAATTGTACAAATCAATTTTAAGTTTGAGACATTTGTCTTCAGGAACTTTTTTAATTTCTTTTACTAGTGATAAACAAAATAGTTTATCTTCATCATCCTCATCTTTATTTTTCGGGAACATATCGTTGAGCCATACTTTTTTCCAATATGTTTGCCAAATGTTCATCAGCTGAAGGTAATTTTATTTTTTTTTTGTTTTTACGACAATCTTCTTTAGGACTTTTAAAATTGTCATCTACATAATTTACGTTGTTAGAATTTTTAGTTATTTTTACATTTTCATCATCAGTTGAAAAACTGCTTTCGGTTACGTTATTTTCTACTGACCCTTGCAGAAACCGTAATCTTTCAAAATGTAAGTAAGTAGATTCGTTCGATCTTCCTGAACCTGATTTCACCATTTTACGTTTTTTGGCTTCACTTACATAATTGTCTCGTAAGCTTTTCCACTTTTTTTGTAAAGTTAATCCTAAATAAAATAATATAGTTATAATTATATAATTAGGCATAAGTTTTGAAGAAAAAAATTAAAAATGGTGAGGAAGGAACTAAACTACATTTGTTCCTAATTATATTATAATTAAAAAATAGGTTATAAAAATATAAAAATAATATGGTTTTCACAGATACCCAGCAAGTGGATGTTCCATTGGTGAATTACATTATGAGTATTTGATGGGAAAAAGTACTGCTGCTGCTATAATCCACCAAGTATGTAAAGTCATTTGGAGAAAATTAAAAAATATTGTGATGTCTCAACCCACAAAGGAAAAATGGTTAGAAATTTCCAAAAGATTTGTACAAAATGCCAAGTTCCCTAATTGCATTGGGGCACTTGATGGCAAACATATACGTTTGATACACCCTCAAAATTCAGGGTCACTTTATTATAACTATAAACATTTTTTTTCGCTAGTATTAATGGCATTGTGTGGCTCTAATTATTGTTTTATTTGGATGGATATTGGGGCATACGGAAAGAATAGCGATTCTGGGATTTTTAAAGTATCATCTTTGTATACTAAGCTCATTGAAAAAACTTTGAATATTCCTGAACCAAGACCTATTATAGACAACGATGAAATCAAATTGCCATACGTCATAGTTGCTGATGAAGCGTTTGGTATGCTAAAAAATTTGATGAGACCAAATGGTGGAAATTTATTATCGCACCAAAAAAAAATTTATAATTACCAGCATACTTTAGCACGACGATATATAGATGTACCTTTGGCATTATGAGCAATAAATGGCGTATATTGCATAGACCATTAGATGTGAATATTGAGTTTGCATAAGATATTGTTAAAGCTATTTGCGTACTTCACAACTATAGTCGGCGACACGAAAACTGGCGGGTGATCGCAACGATCCTAGCGGGTTTTTCGCAATAGTGGTCATTAAACTTTTTGCCGCGCTTTTTCAAATATTTCGTATTCATATAAATTTTTTTATTATTTGTTGAAAATAATAATATTATGCATTTTTATTTTTCATAATTTTTTTTATAGTGTTCAACTTAATATATAAAAATAAACACATACTTAACTTAAATTATTAGTAAAATTACATATATATACATATTTAATTTACAAAAAAACTAAAATACACGTACAGATCAATTGTTAATAATTAAATACAATTTATTATACAAGGCTATTCAATACACTCTTCGTCATTATCGCTAGAGTCCCAATCGCTGTCGTCTGGTAATATAGTCAATATAATAGGTTCTAACAAACTGTTTCTTAAAATTTCTTTATCGTAGTCCTTGTCTTGTATTGATTCGGCATGTTTCACACATTTTTCCAAATCATTTTGCGTAATTGAATCTAACGCTTCATGTGTTAGCTTTTCTATGTCAACCATTTTGAATGTATTATTTTTTGTCGCTACCTTATTTTTTACTTGAGCCCATATCAGTTCAATAGGATTGTATTGGCAGTGATATGGTGGTAGTCGAATCACCTCATAACCCATTTTCAATGCCAATTCGTCTAATTCATATTTCTTCTCCATCGGAATTAGTAATTTGACCCTTTGTTTAAGTTCCGCTAGCATCTCTAATGGAGAAAATGTAATATTTTTTTTTGGTCAGCCAATCCTGAACATCTGATTTTCTAGCATTACACTTAGGAAAATTATCAACTAGTGTCGAATGGTATGATGCATTATCCATCACAATGATAGATGGTTCTTCAAGGTTATTTAACATTGTGATGAACCAAGATTTGAATAGATCTGAGTTCATTTGGTTGTGGTAATCTGTGGAGTTACCGGTACTACTACGGAAAACCAATTTCGAATTTTGTATGAACCCGTATTTGGAACATCCTGCGTGAACAACAATAAGTCGCCCTCCTTTACCTGTCGGTATTTTAAGACCTATGGAGTTTGTTTCATTTTGCCATGCAATGGTCCGTGAGTGGTTTTGATTGACCCATGTTTCGTCCAGGTATACAATAGGTCGAGTTCACTCGCAATGTGCACATTTTTCGTAAGAATGTGCACCTAAGAGAAACTATATCATTGCGCTCCATTAAAAACTTACGGCCATCACTGCATTTTTTATATGAAAATTTTAGATTTTTTAGAAGTCTTTGCATTGATCTAAGACTTCCTGGATAATTGTTTTTCTTCTTGACAGAATTAAGTATAAGTTGTGCAGTGGGGTACTCACCCTTGTCATAAAATTCGTGTACAGTTCTCCTTACTATATCACCATCGAAATCATCCACTTCCGATACATATTTTGCTCGCTTGTAAGATTTTCTCGGTGACACGAAGGAAAGACCAGGCGCTTCTTCAATTTCTTCTGTTTTTCGAGCTTCTAAACAAATGCGCTGAATCGTCCGCTTTGAAATCCTGCAAGCCTCAGCAGTCACGTCTTGAGTTTTTTTAAAAAAATTAGCGTCTAAATCTTCTTTTTCCGATAACTTTTTTAAAAACGAATAAACACTATATATAACTTTTTTACTTTGGCTATGCACGTCGCTGTCTTTAAAAGACATGTTAATATACGCAAATAACAAAAAACAAATAACAAATTAATAAAAAACAGCTAGGTTTTTAAACGATTTTAACGAACGTTTTACCAAAAACGTGTAACGCTGGAAACACAGTATACACAATAAAGAATACAGCGGCATAAAATGTACATAACCATACTTACCTTCCCCCTCTTATTACTCTATACAAAAAATTATGAACAGTCGAATGTGTAGAATGCAAACTCGAAAAAAAGGGAACAAAATTTTGGTAAGTAATGCCTGGGTAGTATTCGTATTGTTCACATTATAGCGCTGTTGGGCGCAACAGGTGGTTGCAGTAAAATGAGAACCCATGTCTACTGGCTGGGTGAGGTTCGGGGTACGACGGCGGCCACCCGCCAGTTTTCGTGTCGCCGACTATAACATAAACATTTGGTAAAATTTACAGTGATTAATTACAGTCATATAAAAAAATCGATTTGGTCGAAAACTGATTTTGCATAAAAATTTTTGTTTTTCCGTCACTTTTTTTTTGTTTTTCTAGATTTTTTGGAAAACTGTTGGAAAATGTTTATTTTGCCCCCTATAGTGCATCAAGGATAGGTAACTTTGACTTCGGAAACCACCCCCAAGTTTGAAATTGAAACATTATTTCGACTAATGTACAGACACACAAAAAAAAAACGCACATCATTGTAAAATCAATACATTCATCACTTCGTTCAGAATCTAAAATTGTATAGTTAAAATATATTTTACGAATGTATACACTATATAAGTTTTTACCTATAACTTTATCATATTTAAATCCGTGCCTTTCAATACTTCGTTTAAATCCTTCCATTATAACATCAGCTTCCATGCCCGTCGCAGAATTAGACCAATTCAGAGAAAAAACGTGTTTAGGTATTGGTTCTTTTTGATTTGACGCTCTTTGACAAATAACGCAGTATCGATTTCGAATACCGATAAACAAAATTTTTTTTGTTCGATACCCTATTATCGTAGCCTGAAATTCGGTACAAATATTGAACATTTTATGAATTTTAAACTAAAATCTACGTTGCACATTTTCGCAATTTTGATATGTTTTGTAAATATATATTAATATATTCACAGTAATATTAAATTTAAAAACAGATTTTTAATATTGTTTAAAAAAGTTATTACAAAGTTAGTTAATCACATTTATTATTTAACAGAATTTTCTATTATACCCCGAATAACCCTATTATATTATACTTACTGCACCAGATTAAGCGTCATATTTTGTTTTATAACTCTTATTGCAGCACCATACATATTGCGTCCCATAAGTTTTGAGACTAAGGTTACTGATGTTACAAAAAAAATGAAAAAAAATGTTTTAAGCAATTTTTTATTCAAAATAGTCACCATTACATTCTATACACCTTCTTGCACGATCGCCCAATTTTTCCATGGCCCGTGAGAAGTCAGCTGTAGGAATGTTCTTCAACTTTTGGGTCACCACTTCTTGAATCGTTTCAATGGTGGAAAAATGCTGCCCCTTGAACTCCATCTTCAACTTTGGGAACAGGAAATAGTCCGGAGGACTCAAATCTGGTGAATACGGGGGGTGGTCGAGTACTGGAATCATTTTTTTGGCCAAAAATTAAGTGACAATAGCCGCGGTGTGTGCGATTGAAATTATAACCGCGATCACAAACATACATTCACAATAGATACGATTATACTACCAGAAATTATCTTATACACGTGAACCTTTGTATGAATCATAAGTGTTATCGTAATAACTTCCTAGAATTTCATAATTATCTAGATACTAGGACTAATTTTAGAATGGTTGTCTCAAAACTTATAGGACGCACTGTGTAATGTAATAATAATAAAAATACTATCGTTTATGGAGGAACAGCTGATCGACACACACACAAACACTCGCGTGCACCAGCCGTTATTTTTATATTTATTTTGTTTGTTTTAATTATAATTGTTTATGAATTATATAATATTATTTAAATTGGTATCGGCGCGTTATCTGCTGCCGCCGGCTCACCGGTGGGCGTAGATTAACGCGGCCGCCGCAAAAGTTTGTCTTCTGCCATACGTCGTCGCGCAAAGACTAAACGGCCGTTATTATATTATATTAATTTTTATTATATTGCGTGGGTGCTAATCGCCAACCTTTTATATATATATATATTTAAAAATTTTTATACATTTTTATATTTATTTTGCTCGTTTTATTTGTTGTGTGTGAAATTTATTGATTATTATAGCCATATTTAGGACCAGATGGCCAGTCTGTGCTTCACAAATTGTAAGTTTTAATTATTATTATATTGTTAGGCAAAAAGGGTCGTATCTTATTTTCATATTATTATATTACTAGCAACGGTGAAACTCGCTGCAAGTGAATACCCTAGGTTGGTGAAACTCACTGTAAGTGAATACCCTAGGTCGATAAAAATCGCTGTAAGTAAATACCCAAGGTCGGTGAAACTCATTATATGTGAATACCCTAGGTGGGTAAAACTCGCTGTATGTGAATACCATGGGTAGCTGAAAATCGTTTGAAGTGAATTTTCTAGGTCGGAGACAGGACTTTAGAATACAGCAGTTAGAAAAGTCTAGTAGGCAAAACCAGTGATAACGACGTTTGAGATGTTGGTACCTCTGATTTGGTGGCTCTACACTTTGGCGGTGTCGTTTAAACGCGTAAATAATAAAAGTCTAATTCGAGCATCTAGTGGTCGGTCATTTCATTAAATTCACAGGTGTAATCATAGGCGCCGAGTTTTCCAACTATCATGGGGTGCTCAAAATCCAAAATTATTTAACTTGTACCTAAATAAAAATTCTAATTACCCAATAAAAAAAAAAAAAATCAACAAAGCATTACTCGTCTATTGACTTCATTCTTGTACATTTTTACAACATAATTCAGTAATTTATAACTTATATACAAATAATAAGTAACAATATTTTTTTTTATTTATAATAATGAAAAGTTGTACAATGTATATTCTTAGATTGCTTAATAAATTTCAAAGGTATTTTGCCTCACTTTGGTTTTCTGTATAAATTTGTTAACAATTATTTCAATATTTATTTCTTCTTGTTTATGTACATTTAATAATGCTACATCATTAAGCCGTGTTTGCATCATCATTGATCTTAAAAATGTTTTTAAACGCCGAAGAGCAGAAAAAATACGCTCAGCAGTACACGATGAAACAGGGACAGTTAACATGATTTTAATTAATTTAATTACTTCTGGTACCAAATCTTGTAAGTATGACTCTTGTTTCAAAAAATCAATTGCGTCTGATACCGATGATATATTAAATTTTTTTGCTTTAGCAACATCCAACATAATACTGCGATGTAATTCTAATTTTGTCCCATCAAAATCAGAGCTATAGTATTCAATTATAATAGATGTATTTATTTTTTTAGAGTCTACTATAAAGTTTTCTACTTTTGCAAGATGTTCAATTACGTCACTAACCTATTATGCAGAGCAGATAACATGATACAACACATTCAAAAAATAGTGCTTTATATTGCTCTTTAGCCGTCATAAAGTAATGTTCTTGCCCTCCTTCGATCAATCGTTTTGGAATTTTTCTATGTTTAGGTTGCTTAACTTCACCTAACCCTAGCTATTCAGATTTATTAATTATAGCTTCCCATAATTGGTCAAAGCCAGATTTTCGTATTTCTTCCATAGAAATTATGATAGCTTCAATTTTTAATCTCGCATCTTGAAAATGCAAAGATTTTTTTTGCAGTTCCGAATTTAAAACTTCTATTCTCTCAAAAATAAATATCATAATTTTTAACACAAAATAAAAATCAAATTTATAGAGTAGTTTCAAAAATCCACTAGCCTTAGCGCATATTTCATTTTTTTTCCATAGCCAGTTGTAACGTCACAGTATTTTTTGTACCAATATTATTATAAATACAAACATACCTGTACCCATATTGCCACTAATAAGCGTACCTAATTTATACATTATTATGATTATCGCGCACTAATGCAGAAATTACCGCAGTATTATGCAATTAATGTTCCCCGTCCCCCCCTTCACCATGCAGTGATCGTCGCCGACGTGCCGCGGTTGTCCGCCGCCCGTCGCCTCCAGCGCTTTCGTCGCGTCCGCCGGTACGGCCCGCAGGCAATTATACCGTACACCCCAAAATATTGTAAAGTCCCGTAATATACCTACCCTGACCTTCCCCACTACGA